CCATGCCCATGCTTGTATGTGGGAGTGTGTATGTTGAACCCATGCCCATGCTTGTATGTGGGAGTGTGTATGTTGAACCCATGCCCATACTTGTATGTGGGAGTGTGTATGTTGAACCCATGCCCATACTTGTATGTGGGAGTGTGTATGTTGAACCCATGCCCATACTTGTATGTGGGAGTGTGTATGTTGAACCCATGCCCATGCTTGTATGTGGGAGTGTGTATGTTGAACCCATGCCCATACTTGTATGTGGGAGTGTGTATGTTGAACCCATGCCCATACTTGTATGTGGGAGTGTGTATGTTGAACCCATGCCCATGCTTGTATGTGGGAGTGTGTATGTTGAACCCATGCCCATACTTGTATGTGGGAGTGTGTATGTTGAACCCATGCCCATACTTGTATGTGGGAGTGTGTATGTTGAACCCATGCCCATACTTGTATGTGGGAGTGTGTATGTTGAACCCATGCCCATACTTGTATGTGGGAGTGTGTATGTTGAACCCATGCCCATACTTGTATGTGGGAGTGTGTATGTTGAACCCATGCCCATACTTGTATGTGGGAGTGTGTATGTTGAACCCATGCCCATACTTGTATGTGGGAGTGTGTATGTTGAACCCATGCCCATGCTTGTATGTGGGAGTGTGTATGTTGAACCCATGCCCATACTTGTATGTGGGAGTGTGTATGTTGAACCCATGCCCATACTTGTATGTGGGAGTGTGTATGTTGAACCCATGCCCATGCTTGTATGTGGGAGTGTGTATGTTGAACCCATGCCCATACTTGTATGTGGGAGTGTGTATGTTGAACCCATGCCCATACTTGTATGTGGGAGTGTGTATGTTGAACCCATGCCCATACTTGTATGTGGGAGTGTGTATGTTGAACCCATGCCCATACTTGTATGTGGGAGTGTGTATGTTGAACCCATGCCCATACTTGTATGTGGGAGTGTGTATGTTGAACCCATGCCCATACTTGTATGTGGGAGTGTGTATGTTGAACCCATGCCCATACTTGTATGTGGGAGTGTGTATGTTGAACCCATGCCCATGCTTGTATGTGGGAGTGTGTATGTTGAACCCATGCCCATACTTGTATGTGGGAGTGTGTATGTTGAACCCATGCCCATACTTGTATGTGGGAGTGTGTATGTTGAACCCATGCCCATGCTTGTATGTGGGAGTGTGTATGTTGAACCCATGCCCATACTTGTATGTGGGAGTGTGTATGTTGAACCCATGCCCATACTTGTATGTGGGAGTGTGTATGTTGAACCCATGCCCATACTTGTATGTGGGAGTGTGTATGTTGAACCCATGCCCATACTTGTATGTGGGAGTGTGTATGTTGAACCCATGCCCATACTTGTATGTGGGAGTGTGTATGTTGAACCCATGCCCATACTTGTATGTGGGAGTGTGTATGTTGAACCCATGCCCATGCTTGTATGTGGGAGTGTGTATGTTGAACCCATGCCCATACTTGTATGTGGGAGTGTGTATGTTGAACCCATGCCCATACTTGTATGTGGGAGTGTGTATGTTGAACCCATGCCCATACTTGTATGTGGGAGTGTGTATGTTGAACCCATGCCCATACTTGTATGTGGGAGTGTGTATGTTAAACCCATGCCCATACTTGTATGTGGGAGTGTGTATGTTGAACCCATGCCCATACTTGTATGTGGGAGTGTGTATGTTGAACCCATGCCCATACTTGTATGTGGGAGTGTGTATGTTGAACCCATGCCCATACTTGTATGTGGGAGTGTGTATGTTGAACCCATGCCCATACTTGTATGTGGGAGTGTGTATGTTGAACCCATGCCCATACTTGTATGTGGGAGTGTGTATGTTGAACCCATGCCCATACTTGTATGTGGGAGTGTGTATGTTGAACCCATGCCCATACTTGTATGTGGGAGTGTGTATGTTGAACCCATGCCCATACTTGTATGTGGGAGTGTGTATGTTGAACCCATGCCCATACTTGTATGTGGGAGTGTGTATGGTGAACCCATGCCCATACTTGTATGTGGGAGTGTGTATGTTGAACCCATGCCCATACTTGTATGTGGGAGTGTGTATGTTGAACCCATGCCCATACTTGTATGTGGGAGTGTGTATGTTGAACCCATGCCCATACTTGTATGTGGGAGTGTGTATGTTGAACCCATGCCCATACTTGTATGTGGGAGTGTGTATGTTGAACCCATGCCCATACTTGTATGTGGGAGTGTGTATGTTGAACCCATGCCCATACTTGTATGTGGGAGTGTGTATGTTGAACCCATGCCCATGCTTGTATGTGGGAGTGTGTATGTTGAACCCATGCCCATACTTGTATGTGGGAGTGTGTATGTTGAACCCATGCCCATACTTGTATGTGGGAGTGTGTATGTTGAACCCATGCCCATACTTGTATGTGGGAGTGTGTATGTTGAACCCATGCCCATACTTGTATGTGGGAGTGTGTATGTTAAACCCATGCCCATACTTGTATGTGGGAGTGTGTATGTTGAACCCATGCCCATACTTGTATGTGGGAGTGTGTATGTTGAACCCATGCCCATACTTGTATGTGGGAGTGTGTATGTTGAACCCATGCCCATACTTGTATGTGGGAGTGTGTATGTTGAACCCATGCCCATACTTGTATGTGGGAGTGTGTATGTTGAACCCATGCCCATACTTGTATGTGGGAGTGTGTATGTTGAACCCATGCCCATACTTGTATGTGGGAGTGTGTATGTTGAACCCATGCCCATACTTGTATGTGGGAGTGTGTATGTTGAACCCATGCCCATACTTGTATGTGGGAGTGTGTATGTTGAACCCATGCCCATACTTGTATGTGGGAGTGTGTATGTTGAACCCATGCCCATACTTGTATGTGGGAGTGTGTATGTTGAACCCATGCCCATACTTGTATGTGGGAGTGTGTATGTTGAACCCATGCCCATACTTGTATGTGGGAGTGTGTATGTTGAACCCATGCCCATACTTGTATGTGGGAGTGTGTATGTTGAACCCATGCCCATACTTGTATGTGGGAGTGTGTATGTTGAACCCATGCCCATACTTGTATGTGGGAGTGTGTATGTTGAACCCATGCCCATACTTGTATGTGGGAGTGTGTATGTTGAACCCATGCCCATACTTGTATGTGGGAGTGTGTATGTTGAACCCATGCCCATACTTGTATGTGGGAGTGTGTATGTTGAACCCATGCCCATACTTGTATGTGGGAGTGTGTATGTTGAACCCATGCCCATACTTGTATGTGGGAGTGTGTATGTTGAACCCATGCCCATACTTGTATGTGGGAGTGTGTATGTTGAACCCATGCCCATACTTGTATGTGGGAGTGTGTATGTTGAACCCATGCCCATGCTTGTATGTGGGAGTGTGTATGTTGAACCCATGCCCATACTTGTATGTGGGAGTGTGTATGTTGAACCCATGCCCATACTTGTATGTGGGAGTGTGTATGTTTAACCCATGCCCATACTTGTATGTGGGAGTGTGTATGTTGAACCCATGCCCATAGTTGTATGTGGGAGTGTGTATGTTGAACCCATGCCCATAGTTGTATGTGGGAGTGTGTATGTTGAACCCATGCCCATACTTGTATGTGGGAGTGTGTATGTTGAACCCATGCCCATACTTGTATGTGGGAGTGTGTATGTTGAACCCATGCCCATACTTGTATGTGGGAGTGTGTATGTTGAACCCATGCCCATACGTGCATGTGAGACTGCAGTGCAGAGGAAGCTGCTGGGGGGTATTCTCACGGACGTGTATGATCTGTTCTGCATGGGCGAGCTATGTACTATGCATGTATGGGGATTGTTGTTTTCTTGCCGAAATGAAAAGCAGGAGGAGGCGGTTGTTAGATGTGGGAAGGGACGAGGTGAGGAGGGAGCTTCTGGCGGTTATCCTTACAGACGTGTACAACCTCTTTGCTATGGACGCGGTTTGACTAGTGGCTTGCTTGGTCTTTTCGAGTCAAGGTATGTATGTACTATTGAGGCGCCTCGAGGTGTATGTACCATGTAAAGAGATCGTTTTGAGGTGGCTTTTGAGTCGACTCAAAAATGTATGTACTATGTACAGGGATTATTTTTGTAGACAACGTGAAGAGAAGGGGCAGCAGGGGGCAGGGGGGAGGAGGAGGCACTTGTTAGATGTGGGAGGGGATGAGGGGAGGAGAGAGCTGCTGTCGGGTGTGTATGATAATGTTTTCATTGGTCGAGGTATGTTTACCGTCAAGGTCATTCCCTTGACGCCTCTCATTCTAAGCCAAACGCTGGGGTTGCCACACCACTGAGCCTTCTTGTTGAGTCAACTCAGAAATCTCTCCCCAATCCCTTGCCCCTCCCCCCACATCTCTTGCCCCATCAGGGCAACGAGTCAGGACTCTGCCTTGACTCGAATAATTCTGAAACAGACTCTGGAATTGCCGCCACTGAGCCTTCTTCTGCTTCTTCACCTGCAGCAGAGGTATCACCAACAGCAGCAGCAGCGGCAGCAGCGGCAACTGCGGCTGCAGCAGCAGCAGCGAAGCGATTTGCAATCCACACGGTGACCTCTCCAGTCACTTCTCCTCCTCCTGCCGCTCCCACCGATTCAGAAGCTGTTGCAGCAGCCGCAGCCGCAGCCGCAGCAGCAGCGGCAAAGCGATTCGCCATTCACACTGTCACCTCTCCTGTCGATTCTCCTCCTCCTCCCCCTCCCACTGATCCAGAATCTGCTAAGAAACCTCCCTCATACCCCACAACTGCAACAGCCGCTACAGCCGCTGCTGACGCAACCAATGCTACTGCTATAGATGCTGAAGCTGCTGCTTCTACAGCAGCTCCAGCTGCTTCTTCTGAATCCCCCAAACTCGCCTCTAAAACAGGGAACTTATCTAAGCGTCTTGGAATGGTAGCAGCGGCTCTCACCCCCTCTTCTCTGCTATTAGACGGATTTGGTTGGTCCCTTCCCATGCCAACACTTAACAAGTCACCCTCTCACTCCCGCACAGTCAGCGCCAGCTCATCAGCGGAAGATTCCAGGATGCTTCCTCCTGCCGGCGCCTCTGCTGCTGGTGGTCTCGCCACCACCGCCGCTGCAACCAGCAGCCAATCCTGGCTCTCCACGTCAGCCGACTCTTTGCCCGAGACTCACCCGGGCAGCCCAGAGGAAGATTCCTCCCTGCCCGAACCACCCGAGCCGTGGTTCTGGCTGCCCGAAAAACGTTTGGATGCCCCTCCGAATGAGGAGGGGTGGGACGTGGGGAGGAGGCTGGGGGGAGGAGGGGGAGGGGCAGGGGGAAGTTCAGTCAGCCTTGCCAGTATGAGCGCTGTTTCGTCTGTTTCTGGGGGAGGTGGCAGCTCGTGGATGGCTCGCGACAGGGAGGAGTCCCAGCCCGGGTGGCATCTGAATTTGTCTGTACTCAGATCCTGGGCGGCACACGACGGGCCTATTACGGGGATAGCAGTTCTGGAGAATGAAGAGGCATTTGTGACTATAGGGAGGGGAGGGTTATTGTCAGAGGGGAGTGGAGGAGGGGGAGGGGGGAGAGAGGGAAGGGCAGGAGGGGGAGGAGGACGGGGTGGGAGAAGCCGGGGAGGGGCAGGAGGCGGGGGAGGTGGGGAAGGAGGGGGAGGAGGAGGGGAGAGGGTTCGGGTGTGGGATGTGGGGTCAGGGGACTGTACTTTAGAATACTCAGGCCATTCCGAGGTTCCTCTTGCAGTGTGTGCGTTACAAGGCACCTCGTTAGTAGCAACATGCGACGAAGTAATCCACGTATGGGACTCTTCCTCTGGCGAGCTCTTATCTCTCTTTGAAGAGCCGCCTTCCTCTCTAGCAGCTCACCTCCAGCAGCAGCAGCAGCAGCAGCTGTACTCACACCACTCCTCCTCCACCCCCACTCTCTCTGCCGCTGCCGCCGCCGCTGCCGCCGCAGCAGGAGCGGCCGGAAACCCCCTCGCGTACTTCTCCTCTTCCCCTCGCCTCGCCATGCCTATCGGCCAGCTTCCGGACCAGACCTCTTCTCTGGATCCCGCTGCTACATCCTCAATCTTCTCCTCTTTCGCCGCCGCTACAGCCGGAGTGGCAAGTGGGATCCCAGCCTCCCCTCGCATGTCCTCCTCTCTCTTCTCCTACCATCCCTTCTCCTCCCTCTCCTCTCTCTCCACCACTCCTCGATCCCACCCATCCCCACACTCCCTCTCCTCGTCCGCCCTCCCGGACCTCGCCGGCCTAGGCTCGGGAGACGGCTCGGCGGGAGGCTCGGTTGGGACGCCGAGGCATGGGAGGGGGCGCAGCGTTAGCAGTCCCATGACTGTGTGTCGATACACGTCGCTGCTGTTCCTGGGGCCAGCAGGGGGGAACAGGCTCGTGGCCGGCACGTCTACAGGCTGCATCCGGTGGGTTTGCTGTGCTCTTTGCTGCAACTTATCTGATATGTGTGTGCTGCACGTGTGCAACTTATCTGATATGTGTGTGCTGCACGTGTGCAACTTATCTGACATGTGTGTGCTGCACGTGTGCAACTTATCTGATATGTGTGTGCTGCACGTGTGCAACTTATCTGATATGTGTGTGCTGCACGTGTGCAACTTATCCGGCTCGTCCTTTAAGGACACGTCACAATTGCAACACCGATCCTGTAGGGGATCCGTGGTTGGGTCGCCTCTGGCAGTGCGGCCCATCAGAGCCGTTCTGCACGCCAGTCACTGCCCTCGCCTCTGCTGCCACCACCACCATCAACCCCATTACCGCTCCCCCTCTCCCCATTCCCACCCCCTTCCAGCCTAGTGGACATGTGTGCGGGTCGCTTGCTCTCCCTCTGGCAGTGCGGCCTATCCGAGCCATTCTGCACACCAGTCACTGCCCTCGCCTCTGCTGCCACCACCACCTCCTCCTCCCACCACCAACCCCGCTTCTGCTCCCCTCCTCCCTCACCTCTGCGGTCTCAACCCATATTTCCCTTCTCCCCTCGTCTTCCCCTCCTCTCCCTGCCCTCTCTGCCCCCATCCCTCCCCTCATCCTTCCCCTCATTCCCCCCTTCCCAGCCTTGTAGACATGTGTGCGGGGCGTCTGCTCTCCCTCTGGCAGTGCGGTCTATCAGAGCCATTCTGCACGCCAGTCACTGCCCTCGCCTCTGCTGCCACCACCACCTCCCCTGCCCCCTATTCCTCCCCCCTACACATCTATCCTTGCCAGCCTCGTGGACATGTGTGCGGGTCGGCTCCTCTCCCTCTGGCAGTGTGGTCTATCCGAGCCATTCTGCACCTCCCTGTTCCCCACTCCCCTTCTCATTCACTTTTGAGCCTACCTTCTTCCCAACCCCCAGCCTTGTGGACATGTGTGCGGGGCGTCTGCTCTCCCTCTGGCAGTGCGGTCTATCAGAGCCATTCTGCACACCAGTCACTGCCCTCGCCTCTGCTGCCACGACCACCTCCTCCTCCCGCCGCTCCTCCTCCTCCTCCTCGCCCTCCTCCTCTTCCTCCTCTTCCTCCTCTGCCCACACTCGCTCCCCTGTTTCCACCAAGTGTGTTTCTGTGGGTTTCCACTCGGGACACCTAGCGTTCCTTGATTGGACGACGGGGATGGTGGTGGCACGGGTGAAGGCACACTCGGGGAGGGTTACAGGGGTGAGTGCTACGGCTTTAGATCTGGTTTCTAGGCGCCTTGAACTTGTAGTGTGCCTGCTTGTTTTTGGTGGTCAGAAATGTCTGGAACTTCCCAGTAACAATCGTCCTTTTCTCACGCATTTTGCCTCTGTTTTTTTACTTCCTGTCGCTTGTCTCACTCACTTCTCAACCAACCAGCTCGTGCCATGTGGCGAGTATCAGCTTCTGTCCTCGTCCACAGACTCGACCATAGCCCTGTGGGATATCAGAAGGTATGCACTCTTTCACAAGGCGTTCATATACCCAATATTAGCCTCCTCGACATCCATTCTGATAAGCTGCTGTCCTCGTCAACAAACTCGACCGTAGCCCTGTGGTACTCACTCACCTTGTCATCAACTTCCATCCTTGTCCTGACTTGACCATGACGCTGTAATATTTTCAAAGGTGTGCACTTACCTACAGGGCAATCATATACCCTATATATGCCTTACTCATCCGCCCAACCCCCTTCCCTTCGCCCCACCCCCTCCCTTACCCTCGTCGGCCAATCCAGAGCTGCTGACGTGGCAGCAGTGGAGAGAGTGGTGGCTCACACACAAGGCATCACAGCAATGGTTGCGCTCACACCCACCATGCTCACGCCCTCATCTGGGGGAGGTACATCTGGAGCAGGCGGAGGGCTGAGCGGCGTGGGAGCGGATCTAATGCCTCCCAGCATGACCCTGGGCCGGGTTGTGATGACAGCAGCGGGGAGTCATATTGGCGTGACGAATGTCTCGGGATTGTCCCAAATTGCAAATGCTCGCACACGTGTCAAGTTCTCGAGCCATGAGCTTGTCAAGTTCCATGCACAACAAGTGATCGACAACATTCAATCGTCCAGGTCAACCCCCATATTTTCGTTGGATTTGCTTCCCTACTCTCGCCTCTTCCTTGCCGGAGGCGAGGATGGTATTGTTCGTGTTTGCAATTAGCAGCGTACAGAAATGTTGTGAATGAAAGCATAATATTTTATTGGTGAAAGTGCTGAGAAGAAACGAGGAATGAGATTGACTAAGGGAAAGTTGGGTACAAATGTAAACCCTAGAAAACTGTACCCCATATGTGCTACCCCGCTATAGCCTACAGTAGCTATGTCATATAAATCTGACACACCCCCATAGGCAAAGTGGGGGAGAACAAGGGGTCACAAGACCAGTCAAGCAAAGCAAAGCAAGCTCAGGGTGGATCACAAAGTCACCACACATTCCGAGCACAAGTTCAAGGCCACAAGGCCAGTTCACATGCAGGATTACATATATATATAAGGCTAGACAAGCAAGAGCAGGTGTATATAGATATGCAACAGTACAAACAAGGTCAAGGGGTGAGCAAGTGAGGCAAGGTAGGCACAAGACCCAGCTGAGTACAGAAGCGCTGATGATCACAAGGCGCAAGTGCCTTGGTGAAGATATCAGCAGTGTTGGCCTGAGAGGCCACGTACGCAAGCCGCAGCTGACCACGCTGCTGTAGCTCACGAGCAAGGAAGTAGCGGAGAGCAATGTGCTTCGTTCTGTGCTCCAGTCTCTGCTCTCGACACAAGGCCAGCATGGCCTTGTTGTCTACGTACAGCACTGGAGGAGAACGAGGCGGCTCTCCGAGGTCAGTCAGCAGGTAGGTGAGCCAGCGAAGCTCCTGTGCAGCCATGGCCCCGGCGTAGATCTCAGCCTCACAACTAGAGCCGAGAACAGAAGACGAGCGGGTAGCCCGCCACGAAACAGAGCCGGAACCAAGGCTGAAGGTGTAACCCTGTGACGACCGCTGCGTAGCCTGGTCGTCAGCCCAAGAAGCGTCTGCGTGCCCAGTGAGGACCACTGGACTCTGCCCTCCAAGCACAAGCCCCATGCCCGACGTACTGCACAAGTAACGCAACACCCTCTTCGCTGCAGCCATGTGCTCCGGTCTGTGTCTCCCAGGAGCAACATTGCGTGCGAGAATGCTAAGAGGGTATGCGAGGTCAGGTCGTGTGCAGGTCATCAGGTACATGAGGCAGCCAACAAGCTCTGGGTACGGGCCACTCGACTCTACGGACTCATCCGAAGGCAGAGCTGAGAGCGAGTGGCGAGTAGGCAGAGGAGTGGCCTGAGGCGAGGAGTACGTGAAGCCGAAGCGCTGAAGGACCTGCTGCACCATGTGTGACTGAGTCAGGGTAATGGTGCGGCGTGCTCTGTCCCGGGTGATCTGCAAGCCAAGGTAGCTGCGCAGTTCACCCAGGTCTGTGCACGTGTGTCTCTTCTGCAGCTCGGACTTCACGTGGGCGAGTCCAGCAGTGTCAGCTGTGGCAAAGACCAAGTCGTCGACGTACACGAGGATGTAGAACGGCGGCAAAGAAGTGTCGGTGCGCAGAAACAGCGACGGGTCGGCAGTAGAGGGAGCAAACCCAAGAGCCGCAAGTGTAGTCCTCAGTGTGTCGTGCCACTCACGCGGTGCCTGGCGGAGACCGTAGACTGGCCGCCGGAGGCTCCACTGGGTGCCAGGAGGAAAGGACCCAGTGAAGCCAGGTGGGCGACGCAGCCAGATCTCCTCGTGCAGGCTGCCCTGCAAGAAAGCAGTGCTGAAGTCAAGAGAGTGCAGCTCGTAGTCGCGGTGAGCAGCTATGTGCAGCAGTACCCGAAGAGTGGTCATCTTCGGGGTGGGAGAGAAGGTCTGAAAGTAGTCAACTCCCTGCCGCTGACTGAAGCCACGAGCCACGTAACGCGCCTTGAAGACAGGCGGAGAACCCGGCGGTCGCTTCACCCTGAAAATCCACATGCCACTGACGATGTTCGCCCCAGGCGGGGGAACCTCGTCAACGTAGGTGCCTGTGGACTTCCAGGAAGCCATCTCTGTGTCCATAGCTGCCTGCCACTGAGAGGAGTAGGGACCCTCTATCGCCTCCGCGTAAGAGCGCGGAGTCGGGATGTCAAGTGCATCCGGGTCTCCCTCAGGGGTAAGCAGTACGGACACGAGATGAGGTGAAGCAGCAGCCAAACACTGGAACTCCTCCTGCCTGTCCTCAAGGACGTCCGTGCCAAGGGCACACTCACCCCCGACGGACGGAGGACAGACAGACTCAGACTCAACGACAAGACTAGCAACGTAGTCTAGACGACAGCGAGTAGCAAAGTCGACGAGCTCAGCAACTAGGGCAGACGCAGCAGTGGACTCAAAGGAAGGGTCAGTGACGACAGTAGCAAGGAGACGCGTGACAGTAGGACTGGCAGCACGAAGAGAGTCTGACTCCGGGTCGGGAAGAGCAGGAAGAGAGGACTCAGGAGGAGAAGGCAAAGGGGCACACAGAGGAGCAGTGGACGGACGCAGAGACATCCGGTGCGTGCCAGGGACAGGAGGAGGACGCTGACGCGAACCACGACCACTAGTGCGAGCAAGACGGACAGGCGACGCAGGGCGAGACGCAGGCTCACGGCGCTCAGTCAGACCTCCAGTAGGACCAGTGTAGGGAGAAGGAGCGGGCAGTGGGGAGGCCGGCTGTAACTGTAACTGTGACGGGACAGGCTGTGGACACTCTAAGGGAGGAGGAGGACCAGTAGAAGGCGGGAGACCAAGAACCTGCTGAAGGAGCGGAACGAAGTACGGCCGAGGCCGCGCGGCGACTCCAGACACAGCAGGGACAGCACCAGTACCCCCAGCGGCAGCACCAGCGCCAGCAGCACCTCCAGCTCCAGTACCTCCAGCAGCACCAGTAGCACCCCCAGCAGGACCGCCTCCAGGACCGACAGCAGTAGCCTCAGCGTCAACACCCTCAGCAGCTCCAGCTCCAGTCGTACCCGCAGGCCCAGCAGCTCCAGTACTCCCAGTACGAGCACCTCCGGGACCCGCGGCACCAGCACCCTCAGCAGCCGAAGAACCTCCAGCTCCAGCAGCACGCCTCCAGCGCCGGGCAAAACACTCGCGCAGCTCCTGTGGAGAGAGTGGCTCCCGCCGAGACGAAGCACCCGGAGAACCTCCAGGCTCAGCACCGCCAGACGCCACACAAGCAGGCCCAGCTCCCTCAGGCTCCGCACCCCCAGGCTCAGCACCTCCAGGCGTAGCACCCCCAGGCTCAGCACCCCCAGGCTCAGCACCCCCAGGCTCAGCACCCCCAGTAGTAGTACCCCCAGGCTCAGCACCCCCAGGCTCAGCACCCCCAGTAGTAGCACCCTCAGGCTCAGCACCCCCAGGCGCAGCACCCACACGCTCAGCACCCCCAGAGTCAGCACCCCCAGGCTCAGCACCCTCAGCAGCACCAGAGTCACCAGTAACCTCGACAGGCTCGACTGCGTCTACCTGGGACACACCTGAAGGGGCAGGACCCTGAGGGGGGAGGGGGTCTACCGGGGGGGGACCTGGCACAAGGAAGAGCGGTGGCGGGGGGAGGGACGGAGTGCGGTAGGGGAAGAGGCGGTAGTAGGGGACCGACTCGTCAAACATGACGTCCTGGGAGGACAGAACACGGCGAGAGGTGGGGTGGTAGAACTGCCACCCTGGCGCGTCAGGGGGGAAGCCAAGGAAGACGCAAGGAGCAGCACGAGGGGACAGCTTGTCCGCAGACAAGTCGCGGACAAACGCCCGAGATCCCCAGACACGGAACGCAGACGCATCGCCAACCTTCCCCGTCCACAGCAAAGCTGGGGAGGTCTCCGGCATGGAGACCCTGGGGTGAAGGTTGATCTGATGCGCCGCGTACCGAACCGCAAACGGCCACAGAAAATGGGGGGCAGCCGCATGCATCATGGACGTACGGGCGACGTCCATGACCATGCCAATGCGGCGCTCAGCAATCCCATTTTGCTGTGGAGAGTCCGGAAGCGTGAAGGTCTGGCGGATGCCTCGTGCACGACAGTAGGCCCGCAGAAGGCCAGAGGAGAACTCTCCACCTCTGTCAGAGTGCAGACGCAGAACAGGAAAGTCCGAGCCGAAGCTCTGCCTGAGCTGGAGACGAGCTGCGCGGATCCAGTCGATCAACACCTCAGTGACATCACCCTTGCTGCGCAAGGGGAAGACTGTGGTGTAACGCGAGTAGTCGTCAACCACCAGCAGGAAGTAGCGCTCGTGACCCTGTCCACGGACGCGGGCCGGGCCCCACACGTCCATGTGAATCGTCTGCAGCGGGGCCTCTGTCGGAGGAAACTGGGAGGAGTGAGGGGCAGCCCGCTGCCGCCCCTCGACGCAAGGGACGCAGGTAGGGCCGGGCCCCGGAGAAAGGGGAGGGAGGGACCGGGGAAGACCAGAGACAAGGACACGGGAGGCCATGCCTCTGAGACGAAGCAGGGAGGGGTGACCAAGGCGGTGGTGCCAGAGGAGAGTCTCGTGCGACAGGAGGCGACACGAACAGGGGGCAGACTCAGGACCAGACCTGGACGCTGCAGCAAACACCTGACCCGACGCAGCTACCTGACCAGACGCAGTGACTGGAGGAGACGCAGTGGTCAGTGTGTACAGGCTCGACCCCGGCCGACGTGTAAACGTGGCCAGGTGTCGGCCTGTCCGAGCGTCCGTGCAGTGGGTCACCCGCTGACTCGCAGGAGTGAACTGGTGAACCCCCGCATCCTGTAGGTCAGCACCACTCACCAAGTTCGTAGAGAACGAGGGGAGGTAAAGACCAGACAGGGTGCCAGAGGGGGCCGCCGGACACGGGAGGACAGTGGAGAAGTGAGCAAGGACAGGACCCCCAGAGGGGTCTGCCAGAGAGACTGCAACTGTCCGGCCAAGCGGCGTGAGTGTGGTGCGGTCTCGAAAGAAGGAGCGAGAAGCCCCCGAGTCAAGGGTGAAGGTGTGGGAGGCCGAAGCCGACGCAGTACCTGAGAGAGCAGACTCACCAGCACCTGAGGGAGCAAACGCACGAGCACCTAGAGCAGCAGCCTCGCTAGCACCTAGAGCAGCAGCCGCACCAGTACCTAGAGCAGCAGTCTCAATGCCCGGGTCGGGCGAAAAACACCGGTAACAGTCACCCTCA